TAAGAAGATGTGAGATAAGTTCAGAATACTTTTTAAATCCCATCTCTCGATATTGCTGTTGCAAGAGCATATTCGAGGCATGAAAAGTGGTAAAAGTTTTCTCCAGCATATCATGATCAGTAATATTATCACCACATAACTTCAATTGGGAAATAATTCTGAACATAGCAAAATTATACTCACTGATAGATTTAAAATCTTGTAGCCTTAGATGAGTCCAATCATATCGTGCCTGTGGAAGAACGACCATCTTCAGGTGGTCATATCTATCTTTCAAATTATTCCACAGTATGACTGGATCTTTAACAGTAAGATATTCCATTTTCAGGCCCTCATCAAGGTGATGGCGTAGGAATATCATTGCTTTGGCACGGTCTTGGTTTGATGCCTGATTTTTGTCTTTGATGGTGTCTGCCAGACCCATCGCATCAAGATGAATTTCAGCATCAAGCACCCAAGACATGTAGCTTTTGCCCGATATATCCAGGGCTACAAATTCAAGTTTAGAAAGAGTTGACATTATTTAGGAAAAGAAAGTTCTTACCTGAGATACTTTCAAAATATTTGCTCGAGATGGCAGAGTCTCGTACTGATAACGTGTTATGAAATAAAGACTATAAAGTAAAGACAAGTATAGAGAGAAATTGATATATTATTCGAATTCAAACTGATGTACATAATGAACTGAAATCTCTTCTATTTATAGAAGAAAGGAAGCTGTTGTGTAAGCTGCTACGCAAGCTGCTGTGTAAGCTGCTACTGCAAGCTGCTGTGTAAGCTGCTACGCAAGCTGCTGTGTAAGTTGCTACTGCAAGCTGCTACTATACCAGATATGGATAATCTTCTACCTAGGGTAATGTTTATCCATAACCGGGTACCGAAGTCTTATTTCCAATAGAGTACTAAATAGATAAACATATTTACGGTGGAGTCCCATATGGATAAGTTTCTTTAGGAAGATTATTTACAATAGAGTACTAAATGAACATCCATAATATAATATATTTATAACAGTCCTTATAATTATCAATAACTGGTCTCTAATTATCTAAATCAAGCGGGTATAAGTGCCAAATAAATTTTGACTTCGAAAAAGAATGGAGAAATAAAATAAAAATCTAAAAAAGCATTCTCTCTAAAACATAACTCTCCGCCTCTCAAAATCCTTAAACCTAATTTTGGCAGCGGAGCTACCGTCTATTCTCTTTATCTAAAATCGTTGTCCCTTTCTCGTTTTCTCAAGTCTTAATCTTCATCTCCGTTATTTGCCAAAACCAGTTTTCGACAAATCAACTCTCGATACTTGTTCTATTCACCGTTGTTGGACCTAGGGTAATAATTCTGGCATCCTTTGAGTATAACAACTAGCTTTATTTTTTATATTTTTTGGAAATGATTTTCTCATCTATCTATGTTCTCCAGCGTGTACACTTGACCCTGTGCCTAGAACTCGCCGGAATCCTTCTTGCCTACTCTGTCGCCATTGTCAGGAAGCATGTAGATTCATATATTCAAAGAGAGCTTCAGGTGCGTCCTTGGTTTAATTTGGAACTATGTGTGTTCTTCTTGCTCTTGTTGTGATATTTATTTTGTGAAGATTCATCTATAGTGGTACTGCTAAATTAGTGTAAGATTGTTGTGATTATTTTTCCTATTTTTTTTTTTAGAAATGGCTAACTCAGATTTCAATTTCATAGATATCCTTATAATTGCACGCCATCTGTTCGACTAATTGGCTGAATGCATTTTTTTTTTCTAAATACATTTTACTTTGTATGTTTTACAGGATTTGGAGACTTCCGTTTACAAGTCATGATGCAAATTTGAATGTTTTGAAAAAGTTGACAAGTTAGTTAATGTTTGCCAATATTGTTTGGCAAAACATTTTATTATGTACTTAGGGGTACTGTTAGATTCTTTGGCTAATGAGTTGTGTATATGGTATCGTGACTATATATTTTTGTAAATAATATTTCTTATGGAATATTAATCCGAACCTCTATTTAATTCGATTGATAATTTTGTTTATATGAATTTGATTGTCTGTGCTAAAAATTGTATGATATGTTAGAAAAAGGTGACAAGAAAAGAACATGTATTATTTAGGTACAACATTTTGTGGCCAAGGACTAGATATCTGGTCGTAAATGACTTTTGAGGACTACTCAAACTTCCCGTGAAAATGTATTTAAGGACCAAAAACATGGTCGCAAAAGAGTTTTACGGACCAGTGCAAAAATCTGGTCCCTATTGACCTTTAGCGTCGGAGCCTATAGCGACCGGTGGCGACCAGATTTTTCCGTCGCTATTGAGATTAAAGACCAGAAACAGACTTTTAGGGACCATTTTTCTCGTCCCTAATAGCGCTTTTTCTTGTAGTGGTGTGTTTAGGGCACATAGTCGGGCATTTGGAGGCATAAGCCTCACAGAACTAAACTCGACAAATGAGTCTCAAGACGTTTTGATAGTGCCCCGCCCTGGGGCGAGCCCCGAGGCGAATCCCAAAAAAAATATTTTCAAATACTGGGTGGGATAGCTAATCGCGGGATAATTAATCATCGAATAACTTGTTACCCAACCAAACGATCCCTTAGTTGGTCACTAGTGATGAGGTAATTCTACTCCCTCCTATCACTTTTGCTTGACACGTATACTAAAAATAGATGTTTACTTTTATTTGGCACTTTACACATATCAAGAGAAGATAACACATTTTTTCCTGTTTTACCTATAATATTTATTATTCATTTCAAATCATTTTCTTAAATCCAATAAAATATGCATCAATTAATATGTGTATCATGGTAAATTATACACTTCATTTATTATTTCTTAAGGGACATGAAAAATTAAAAGATGCCAAGTAAAAGTGAGCGGAGGGAGTAGTAAATAGAGTGAAACTTCATGATGTTCAAATCTTAAATTTGCCTTACTTTGTCTTGCTATGGTCAGAGGTGGATCCAAGAATTAAGTTATTGGTTCCTACAACAACCTCAATATAATATTCAATAATAATTAATTTAAAATTAAAATTTATCAGTAATAATCTTTATATTCCTGCTATGCATGAATATTTTTAATTGGCTGCTATATACACGTAGTTTGTGCCAAAAGCTAGCTAGCCAATGAGATATACGCCGTATTTCTTCGTTTTCATTTTCTTTATTGGTGAGATTTAAATGTCACTACTTGCAAGTTGCAAAGGCATATATATTAGCTGGATCATGGCTGTCTTGAAATTACGGCTAAATGATTTGATCTTTTATTTCTATAGCGTTGTATAATAAATATGAAAATGATGGATCTTTCCTTTTATAGTTGGCTTTTTGGTGGAAATCCTTCTTTTTAGTAATTAAATGTTCTTTACCTTCATTGTCTTTTGCTTTTCAAGCCTTTTTGGTCCTCTAGTCATGATGATAAAACAAGTAGTACTAGTATATTATTAGTCTTTATGTAATAATTATTACTAATATCCTAATGATATTTTAAATAATAAGTGATCATGCTTCGAAGAACCTGTCAAAATTTTAAATATTTCTTTTCCGTAATATTGTTATATTCAAATTGAGATTACAACAACTATAATTTTTTTTAAGTGTAATCCCACAAGTGGGGTTTGAGAAGGATAGTGTTTACGTAGACCTTATCTTTACCTTGTAAAGGTAGAAAGGTTGTTTCCGATAGACTTTCGGCTTAAGAAATACTAAACAAGAAGCAACCAACAATAACAACAACAAGATCTAAAATTAAGAAATATAAGAATACTTTTTTTTGATGAAGAAGAAATACAAGAATACTACTAGCAATACCGTAATTGAATGGAGTAAACAATATAATTTGTCAATTGACATCCCTTCACTGATTATCCAATACTGTTACCAAAAATACTGTAACGACAGTAGTAGTGGTAGTAGACTAGTAGCAGTAGTAAGTATTTCCTATTCACAGTAACATATGGAGCTAAAAATTTCTATTCATATTTAGGAGCTTATTTTAAACATATTTGAACGTTTATGATAATTTATATTGAGTTGGACTATATTTTGTGTATAATTACTAACATTTCAAGCTCCATTTAAAATATCAGATCCAGATTCGTACAGAATTACTGAGATCAAGTAAGAAAATAGAGTATAGTAGTAGTTGTTAAGTGTCCTTTTGCCTTTTTAATTTGGACAACTTAATAAGAGTTGACCTATTATTTCACCAAAAAAATGTCAACTCGATCGTGTGGATCACGATTATATTCTAGACTACATTTATTTCTGCTTTCAGAGTAGTGGAATGATTCCCGTTTGCAATCTTGGGTAGCTCACTTGTCACTCAAACATTCAGAAGAAAATGCTTTAAGGAACCAGGAGATGTTATCTAGTATAACTTTTTCTTGTTCCTACCTTTGATCAGAAGCAAGGCACTGTACCCTTTTTCTTTGATTTCTCTGTAAATAAGATGTCCACCTAGCTAGTCGCAAAACAGTAATGTAATCGGCTAGTCTATAGAACTTTTAACTATTAGTGTAATATAATTTGTACTGCCTTATTATTCAGGTTACTGATTTCACTTATTATATTAACAAGTGTAATTCGGTTCATCCATTATTTTCGGCTTCTTTTTTTCTTGCTGAGATATTAGAATTTATTAGACAATGACATATTATTGCAAGTCATGTTAACAATTTAACCTGATAGTGTAAACAAATTACATATATAAATTAGATTCAAAAGTTAAAGATTTACTCTTCACAAAAAGATTAGCAAAGTGGAGAGGTTAGAGTAAGATCCACCAATAATTAACAAGTAGATTAAAATAAGCCCACTCCGACACCATCAGTCCATTTTCTCAATTAAGTGAGACAGTGAGGTTAGAAAAGACGTAGACCTCCCAACTAATCCTAATTATCTTTTAATTTCCACCTCATCTACGTATACACACTACCAACTATTATTGCTAAAAAAGTTTTAAAATATGTAAACATGATCATGATCGATTATAAAGTCAAAGATCTCAATTCTGGACCCATTAGAAGGAAAACCATTCTTTTCATGATCCTTAAAGCAACCATAGACAACTTATGTTCATGCATGAGAATATATCATATTAACAAGACAAAAGTAAGGGAAATAATAATGGGATCTTTACACAAATAGCCGGTCATATTAATTGTTTACTTTTTCTAACCATATACATAAATTGTACATTAATTATATACAATTATACATATGTAAAACATAAATTATGCATACATTATATATTCACCGGCTATTTTTAATTTAAGTAGTCAAGTGCCTATTTGGATTAATTCTTCAATAATTTAACGAAAACAAGCATTTTTTCTCCTGGAATTTATTTCTTTGGCATTAACTTTTTTGCTTGACTTTCTAACTAAAAAAATTTATGTGCAAAAATAATTATTCTCTCAACTTTAATTTATATGAATATATTTGACTGAAAAAATGACATGATATTTTTTTAAATGATTTTTTAAGGAGTGTAAGAAAAAATAATTTTTTAAAATTTATAATTTTAAACATGACATGATATTTATATGGCTATAAAATCTTAATCAATTAAATAAAAAATTATTTGAAAAAAATTAAATAAAAAATAGTGTCATATAAACAAAAACAAAAGGAGGACTATACTATATATTCTCAGCATTCAACTTGCAAAATTATGCGCATTATAGATCTTTGGTATAAGAAAGTTTATACTCATACATTAAATTTTGAAAAGAAAAATTGAAAAACTGTCGGTTCACCTAAAAAAATCAAACAAATTTGCATCTTTTTCTAGAGGCCTTGGAGATTTTTTTTAAAAAGAAAGAGTGAAGACAAAGAGATAATGGGTGGAATAAAATGAAATAATTGAGAGAAAATGTGGGGCCAGCAATGTTAAAGGGGACCCACTACCATATTGTCAAGAAAAAATATGCTTATAGTCACAAGCTCAAAAATCTCTTTCCATGTGCAACTCTTGCCATTGCTTCATCATTTCTTGCTGGCTCTCTTCCAATGTGTTGAGAATACAGTTCATCTTCAACTAAAAGATTTCTCAATGTCACGTTCTTGAACATGTCTTTGTTCTTTACACCCACTCCTTTTGCTATTTGAGTTCAATTCTTTTTCTTTCACTCATTTTCCCTTTCTCAAACTAAGACAAATTGAGCATGGATTCCAGGACCCTTCTTGATTATGCACTGTTGAAGCTTACCCCAACTAGAACAAGGTTGGTTTTTTTCTTTCTTTATGATTAGATTACGTATTAATCAGTTCTTGTTTTAACTTGTTTTTAGCTTAAAATGTTATGGAAACTGATAATGTTGGGATTTTTTTTTTCTGTTTTTTGGTGGAAAAAGATGTGATCTTGTGGTGTTTTCTGGGGGTAAAAGTGAGAAATTGGCTTCTGGGTTGGTGGAACCTTTCATTTCTCACTTGCAATTTGCTAAAGATCAGATTCCAAAAGGTGGCTATTCAATCACTATGCGCCCACCCTCAACTCATGCCTACTGGTTCACCAAATCCACATTCCAAAGGTATAATCTTTATTTGATCTTTTGCAAGTTTAAAGCTTTTAAATTTCCTTCAAATGTATGTGGTTCATTGTTCATCAATATTGGTAAATGTTACTTGAATAAGTTAGTTGATAGGAAGGTGTGGAGGTCGCTAATTAGGGTAGAAGGTTAGTAGGTAGTCGGGCGTGTTTCTTCTCCATACCAGTAGTATTAGTAGTTAGTCTTGTATTCTATTATTATTAGATCTCTATTACATGCTGTGCCTTTCGCTTTGTTTTCTCATTATCTTATTGTTGTTACTGTTTGTTGCTACTGTTTTCTTTTCATCTTTCCTTGAGCGGGGGTCTATTGAAAACACGCTCTCTACCCTCAAGGTAGGGGTAAGGTCTGTGTACACACTACCTTCCCCATACCCCACTTGTCGGATTATACCGGGTTTGTTGTTGTTGTTACTTAAATCATTTGGAACTTCTGGAATTGCTGAAAGATTCTTGAAGATGATCGT